TTGAACATGGCACCATTACAGTTGTGTAGGTACAACAGTTTCACAAAAGACCTGACTCTTCACAAAGCTAGTTGCCTCTCATAATAATTGAGAGCACTCAGTATCATGTGGGTTCTGATCCAGATTCACAAACATTTTGGGGAGTGAGGTTTTATTTCCAGTAATATTCGTGCAAAGCTGAACCATTGCCAGTCCTAGCAGAAGTAAATATTTGCAAATGTTTTCATTCTGGAAGCATTCCCAGTTTTCCCCCTGGCCAGCTTGCAAAGCCTTTTTTCAAAGTCCCAGGAAGATTTGGACTATTATTTTTGAATTTTTGCTATATTAATTTTGCGTGTGTTAGCCTTGGCTCTGTAACTGCCAGTTGAAGATGCTAAAATGCATTTTTCAGAGTTGTCAAGGAGCTGCTAGAGCAGAGGCATTTGATAGCTAGGAAGTTTATATTAATCAAATTAAATACAGATGTCATCAATAAGTACATTTCTAAAACGCCGAAGCAGTTTGCAGGTAATTCACAAATAGAGACTTCTCTTGTTTACAATGCTTCGATTCTTAAACCTCAAAATAACATGGACAGAATTTTCAAAAGCACCTAAGTGACTTAGGAACATGTCTTTTGTGGGACCCACTTTCTTGAGTGAGTTTGGCACTTGTGTAAATGGTATCCCAAGTGACCAATCATGGGATGGAATGACAGATAGAAAATATGGTTACTAATCCTGGACAAGGCAAACTTTGCCCCACTCTTGGAATATGGTATGTAATCAATGATCCCCTGAAGTCAGTCCCCTAAGCTACACATTTCCACAACTTCCTAATTGGTCCTGGAAAATTTGTGAGCAGAAGCAAAGTGTGTAAATTCTTCATGTGATTCATTCACAAGAAATAATCTGACAAATTATTTTCTTGCAGGTAAGTATTCTGCAAACCTCTATTCCTCTGTGATGCTTGATTAGTTACTCTTGGGGGAAGTGGATTGTTAGAGGGGGTAGTGGATTTTGCAAGTATCACTGTCCTGCCATGTGTCTTGTTCACAGTTATAGTTTTATCTTCTCCACTCTCACTTTCATAGGTCACCAGTTCCTTTTAAAATCATGATGGCAAGTGGGTAATGCCTTGTGTATATCCTAAAAAACCCTGGCCCTTATGTGGGAGAGCTCAGAACAATGGTGGTAGTTGAAAGGAGTTTGGATTCCTAAACTGCTTGTGGGTAGTGTAGAGATATGGCAGGAGAAACTTGGTTAATTCAATCCTTATGAATGGCTCATGCTGGCAGAAATATTTAGGGCAAAGTTTTCCGACCTAGGCTCTCAATTTTAGCCTCTTAGGTCCGTAATTAGCCAACTGTATACAAATAGCTATAGTTTTAAAATGTGTAGCATCTTGTCTCTAGGCTGTTGTCATCCCTAGGCTGTTGTATGGGTGTGAAACCTGGACAAGAAACACCTGAAAGCCTTGAAATGGGACCATCAGTGATGTCTTCGGAAAATTCTCCATATTATTTGGAAGGCCAGAAGAATGAATGCCAGTTTTCTGGCTCAAGTAAACACTACTGGCATTGAAGCAATTTTTATATGGCACCAGCTCCATTGGACAGGACATGTCATAAGGATGCTTGACAACCAACTCCTGAAATTGGTCCTGTATTCCCAACTCGCCAATGGTCGCTGCTTTAGAGATGGACAAAAGAAGAGATTCAAGGACATCTTGAAGGCCAATCTGAAGAAATACCCCATTAACATCTATGCTTGGGAGACTTGAGCACTGAATTGTCCCCTGTAGTATGAAGTATGGCAAAGCACTGACCGTTTCTACCAAACTTACCTCACCATGGAGACGAGTAGGTGAGAAAGACGAAGGGAAAGATCTCTAACCTGACATTACCAGGATACATGCAGATCTCAGATTAGGCCTCTTCAGTCATCTCTGGGTGCACCGATGACCTATCTTTACCAAAACACTGTCATCCTCGTATCAAGGAAAAGGTGACAACAAGGACAAGTGTCCTTTGATGATACTGAAGTTAGACAAAGTGGTAAGATGTCAATGCCACTGAAAATCAGATAATTTTTATTTAGGATTTTGGCACTAAAGCTTAGATTTTCAAAGGAGCATCAAAATTCGCATTGAATTTTAACAGAATTTAAGCACCTAACTTTATTAAGGCTTCTTAGAAAATTACCCCTCATGGGTCTGAAATAAAGCCCACAGGAGTTAATGGAAGTTAATGGTTTAAGGAATTAAATTAGGCTATTACTCTTGCATAAAATGCTTGTTTTTCTAATGCTATTAACAAATGTTATGCTTTCTCAAACATCTAAAAATACAGAAAGGAAGACCCGACAACAGCAAAGTAAAGGCTACACTTTCTTATACTTTATTCAAGCAAAGAAATCAAGTGCCAGATACAATGTGTTCAAAAACCTTTTTTCTTTATTTAGCACTTGAATCTGTCACTAATACGTACAGCCATTTAAAACTTCCTTATGCTGGCTTATTAATAATAATAGGCTGCACTTTCAAATTGGACAAAGGCACATCAATCACAGTCAGGCAACCTAGAAATCAGTATATTCTCATGATTGTTTAATAGGTCATATAGGAAATTTAATTGAAAGCTGGTGAATTCTCAGAGCAAGCAGCTCGCTACTGATTCTTCAAAAGGAAGTGAATTGGTCTCTTTAGTTACCCTGGCATGAAATTTTAATTGGCAGCGAGCTCTTTTTATACAAACAAGTGATTTTTCTGGGATGGTCTTTTTCCTCTTACTATTTCTTTATTGCTATCTCTCCATCCTTTTTTCCTTAGAGATTATTTTGAATCAATTCTCACTTCATTTCAGATAATTGCTTTCCTTTTTGTTCATTATATTCCAGTGTAATACTTGACCGTATTTGATAGAATCAGGAGAGAACAGAGTTAAAAGGAAGCAACATTTCCCTAATCATATTTAACCAGCTATGTGGCTATAAGATGATATTACTAAATAAAATAATAATAGTAGTAGCAGGTTCTGTGCGGAGACAAAAATTACTCCGTCTTTAGAAGATTAAAAAGATATTGAGCACATAATGAACATAAAATTCAGAGTTATGTTTTCCCACTAGAACCAAAGGATGTTAACATTACTTAGCATTTGTTTTCTCTGCATATGTTGTACTTTGCATTATTTTGTACCTTTTTAAAAATGTTTAATTTATATCTTAACATGTATTTGCAGTGTGGTTAAGTCATGATTCTTTTTACTTAACTTTGCAAACAAAATTGCAACACTATATTTAGTTTTTAATAACGGCTGACTGTGGTACCCCTCTTTTTTTTGCAGCCAGGGTATAAAAGGCTTGAGACTACTTGGTAGTCTTTGGCTTCCCCAAAGTCGTGTGTAATGACTTGAACTTTCATATTGAGGTTATTTCTGCACCTTCTGTAGTCTTTTCCAAAAGTCTCAAAACTCAAAAGCAGACTTATAGCTCTTACATCTACATTTTTTTCCTGGGTTTGGCTGTGCAAATAATTGAATTTTCCATTTAGTGACTGAATCAGTTATTAGGAAAAAATGGAACTTCAGGTAACTTGCAAACAGAAATATGCAATTTAGGTCCGATTAAACATTTATTTTTTTGACTTGCAATGAAATATTTTGGTTTTGGCTGTTTTTCACTCTTCTGTTTGTTTGATTGTTTGTATTTTAGTTTGCCACCAAACCAAGCAAACAGCTATTTCATAGCTACTCTTAGAGCTGGGAGCCAGTACCTTTTAGAAAAACATGTTCTTTAAAAGTTATCTTGTGTTTTCTATCAGTGAAAGGTATTTCTGGAATTATATCTTTCTATCTCTCTACTCATCATAGGACCCTAGGTTTTGAACCTCAAACTCTGGATCCTGGGACTTGAAAGCCTGGATGCTATAGTCAACTAGCACTTATCTTCTTTTGTACACAGCATCTACTATCCATGACTTTCTGTTGTAGAAAATAAGTATGGCATGGCAGTTCTTCCTCTTGAATTAAGTTTCCCATATTCTTACAACAATGTAATATATATCATGTTCAGAATGATTTTGCTGAGTGTATATTTATTACAATAGTAATACTATAAAAGTGATGTGGAGAGGTGCACCGATACATCAGTCCACATTGTATTGGCACTGATAAAAGGAAAATTGACATTATCGGCAATCGGGCGTTTTTGGCTGATATGACTGATAATGTCCCTGATAAATGCCGTGTACATGTGCACAGCTGCAGCATGCACATGGCCAGGGGTGCAGCTCAGCAGCTTGGAGAGCAGTGTCTGGCTGGTAAGTCTGTGAGGGGGCAGGGGCGTGGGAGAAGGAAAGGGTGTGGGGGGGACAGATCGAGGAATCTGCAGTGAGGGAGGGAGTGGGTCTGTGCCTGGGCCAGGGGCAGAGGTAGGCGCTGCCTGACTGAGGTGGGGCATGGGACATAGCTGGCAGCTCATCCTAGGGGTGTGTGTGTGGGGGGGAGTGGCTCCTACTGCTGCACGCACCCCTGGGGGAGGTATAGGGGGCATGTGCTCCCTGAATCTGTGCCATGGGGTGCATGTGCCCCCCAAATCTGCATGGGGCTGCCACTGTGTGCTCCCCGGCTGTGCTTGGGCAGGATGGGTGGTGGCAGCACCACTGGGAGGGGAGACTACAGAGGAGCTAGAGCCACCCCAAAATTTGCCATAACCCCCCTCTCAGCACTGCTGTCGCTCATCCTGCCCTGCCCCCCCCACACCCCTTCCCTCCAATAGATTTACCAGCTGGATGCTGTTCTCCAGGATGCCAGCTGAATATTGTCAATTGGATTGGTATTGGCCAATATGGCTGGTCAATAATCGGCTATTGGTATTGTCCCAAAAAATCTTTATCGGTGCACTCCTAGTGATGTGAAATGGCAGACAATAAATGGATATGGGTAGCAGGATCTGAAATGTAGGCCTATCAGTTTATATTTTCAAAATGGGAAAAAAATATATTTTTATTGTTATGTTTAGTTTTACAGAGTTTTTGGATCCATTCCATCGAGTTATCCAGCCAGAAGAGATCTGGCTCTATAAAAATCCTTTGGTACAGTCAGACAACATACCTACGCGTCTCATGTTTGTAAGTACTGGAGATTTAATAGATCATTTGACAGCTGGATGTATTGTAAACTAACCATGCTTTCATCTGACAACACATGACAAAACCCACAACAATCTTGTCTGCTCTTTGGGTTCCAGTTATGAGGCTCAAAATCACATAAAACTGCATCAGATTATAATGTGAGAAATAATACAGACCATGTTTTAAAAACCAGCAGAGCAGCAGCAGTAGTACAGTATAGCCAGCTGCTACAATACTGATAATACTGTTTAAATTGAAGAAAGTATTCGTAAGTAGATGTGAGCAATGATACGAAGTTAGTTATATAGGCATTTTAGAAAATCCCACTCAGCACCTATTTAAATCTTTAAGGTGCCTGAGGTCAAAAAGTTGGCTCCTATGCATATGAATACTCCATACTAGTTAACTAGATTAACACCACCTCACATTTAGAAGGTATATTGTAAGATATGTTGGTCGCTATAATTGAATACATTAATACAAATGCATTAATCTTTGTAGGAACCCTATCAGAGTGTTGTTTTCCTAAGGCTAGTGTGATACTGAGGTTGAAACCTGGCCTATTGGTATAGTTCATCACTGACTTCAGTGGGTCCAGGACTTCACTTGTGGTCTTTGTTTTTAAGATGACCAACTTGTATTTAGAAGGAAGGCAGAATAAACCTGTGTGGTTTGATTATTGCAATTTTCTAGCAGGACAGTAATGCCAAAGTCAATAAATATTTTTTTGTTATACAGCTAACAACTTGAGGGTGCTTCTTGTTTACAAGGCAATTATCATCTCCCGATCTTATAAAGTCAGAGGCTGAAAGCCAAGGTGTTTAATCTCCTGGGATATTGTTATTATTGAGTCAGGAGGAAGACCAATTAAGACCAGTTTTACCAATAGGAAGAGGTGAAAAATACCTGTTTTTCATTAAATGAAAAGCAGACATTTAAAAAAAAGAATGAAAGGATAGAGCTGGATGCAGTTCTGCGCCTAACTTTTCGAACCTTGCCCACACTGGGTGCATCTACACATGCAGTTAGCATGTAGCGATAAACTCTGGTGCAGGTCCTGCCAGAATGTATTGCTCTGGGGCACAGCGTTTAGATATGTGCCTGGGACCACAGCATGTTGAGCTGGGTTGATGCAGCCCGAGCTGGCAGAGAGTCTTGGGGGTCAGCCTGCCAGCTTGGAGCTGCTCCAACCCAACTCAACATGTTGAGGAGGGGCTGGTTGGGACATGAGGGTGCTTCTGTATGGGGCTAACTGGCAGGAAGCCCCCACACTGTAGCACCCTCATCCCCCAGCCAGCCCTGGTCATTGTCTACATGAGCGTTTTGGTGCATGCAGCTACTCTGCTGTAGGATAGTACTTGTCCCTGACAGTACTATCCTAAAGCAGAGTTAATTAATTTACTGTGCCCTAATATGGGTGCATGTGTAGATGGTGATGCTTTACTGTGGAGGTAATTAGCCAGCTCTGCTGTAAAGCTAATGTGTAGATGCACTCACTGAGCAGTATTTTGCTTCATGAATGCTCAGGTAACTGTATATTTTATTCATTCAGTTGCAAATCACTGTGTCCAGTTTTGCAGCAGTGGTGAAACCATTTTAAACCAAGCTGAGGGTGAGGGAACCCTATATGACAATGCATTAATCCTGCCTCCTCCTGATGGGAGACATTCAGTACATAGCTGAGGTATGAAGGGGAGTATTTCTTCCTTATTTTTTCCTTGCCTTACAACAATTCAGTATACTTCATAGCAGTAGTGAGTTAATAACCTTGTATACTATGTGTCCTAGTTTATTCAGACTATCTCATATGTGAACAGCTCCTTGAATTAAGAAACTATAACTTGTTTCTAAACAGCATGATCTTATTTCTTCAATATAAAAAATAACCATTTAATTGTTTTCTAGTTTTCATTATATAAAGTACTTCCTATTACCAGGGCTATAAACCAATTTTGGAACGAGTGGATACAGCTTACTAACAAGGACCCATTAACATTTTTTTCTGAAGTACTGGATTTATTAACAAAGGGCACATCTACACATGCTATTGAATAAACTCTGGTGCAGTTTATGCTAGAGTTTATTGCTCCCGGGTGCCATGTTTACATGTGCACCCAGGACCATAGCAGGTTGAGCCAGGTCAGAGCAGGCCTGGCAGGCATCCTGCTAGCCTAGGGCTACTTCGATCTGGTTCAACGTGCTGTGGAGGGGCTGGGTGGGGCATGAGGGTACTTCAGCGTAGGGCTAGCCAGTAGGCAGCCCCCTGATGCCCCAGCCAACCCCATCATCTATGTGTGCATTGCAGTGCACAAAATGACACTGCTGTAGGATAGCGCTTGTGTTAAGTATTATCCTACGACTACATTTATTAGTTTACTGTGGCCTAATAAGGCCACATGTGTAGACACTGAGACTTTCCTGCGGAGCTAATTAGTCAGCTGTACAGTAAATGTCTCGTGTAGGTATGCCCTGTGAGACTTTTTAAAGTTAAGAAAATAGTCATGAATATTGTAGCTCCAGGTACAAATTAGACAGTGCAAATCTACATTTGGGCCAGAAGCAAAATAAAAGGGCTGGAAGAATTTCTGTACTTTTTGTTTCTCCAAGGACAGGTATATTTGATCCTGTGAAGTGCTGAATCCCTTCAGGTCTCACTAAATTCAGACGAAGTTAGGGGAATGCAGCTCTAGCAGTTGCACAAAGCATTACATCTGTAAATATTTACATAAAGTAAGTACCAGGTATCTGTTAAGACAGATTCCATTCTAGAATCTGTATACGACAGGAACAATACCTGAAAATAGCTCTCCAAAGACGAGCATCAAGAGACGCATCATGGCCTGGGCTATCTTTCTATATACTTCCATAGATGGTTTCCTGAGATGGCTGAGTAGGGATAAGAGGGATTGTGTGCCAGCTACTTCCCTCTTCACTGAGTGGGAGGGAAAGAGCATTGGCCCCACCCAGTAAACATTGCAGTCAATGTGCTAGACTGGTTTGGCATGGAAAAGGATGGAATTTTACTATTATTATGGACACATACTAAATTACTGTCACCTGATGTAAGGTTACATGATTCGTTCCTGCAGCACTTCCAGGACAGCACAGTTACAGAGGGCTGAGTATAAAGGCCAACTTAGCCCTAAACCAGGGGTGGGCAATTATCTTGGGCAGAGGGTGGCTTGACAAGTTTGGGTGAGATGTTGGGGGCTTCATAGGTAGCCCCGCCCCTAGTTGCCACATTGGGACTGGAAATCCCGCCATCTAACCCTTGACCTTTGCCACCAGAAGTCCCTCCCCTTGCCCCCCAGAAATACTTTTTTTGGGAGGGGGTTGCCATCTTAGAACCAGAAAAAATCCCAAATAATACACTATTAGTCATAAATTCATAGACATAGGTTTGGAAGGGACCTTGCAGATCTTTTAGTCTGACCCCCTGCCCTGGGCAGGAGAGAAAAATGGGCTCAAATGACCCCAGCTAGGTAATTGTCAAGCCTCCTCTTAAAGACCCCCCAAGGTAGGAGCCATCACCACTTCCCTTGGAAGTTGGTTCCAGATCCTAGCCGCCCTGACTGTGAAGTAGTGCCTTCTAATGTCTAGTCTGAACCTACTGTCAGTCAACTTATGGCCATTATTCATTGTTACTCCAGGAGGCACTCGGGGGAGCAAGGTCTCTCCCATTCCCTGTTGATCCCCCCCAGCAAGTTTATAGACAGCCACCGGGTCCCCTCTCAGCCTTCTCTTGTGAAGGCTGAACAGGTTAAGGTCCTGTAGCCTCTCCTCATAGGGTCATGTGAGTGGCTCTCCTTTGGACCCTCTCAATGCTGTCCACATCCCTCCTGTAGTGCGGTGCCCAGAACTAGATGCAGTACTCCAGCTGTGGCCTGACCAGTGTCACATAGAGGGGGAGGATCACCTCCTTGGCCCTGCTTGTGATGCATCTGTGGATACAGGACAAGGTGCGGTTAGCCCTACTGACTGTGTCCTCACATTGGCGGCCCATGTTCATCTTGGAATTGATAATGACTCCAAGATCTCTTTCTGCCACTGTGCTTTTGAGAAGAGAGTTCCCAGCCTGTAGGTATGCTGCCAGTTC